ACTGAATACGAAAATAGCTGAGCTCAACAAGAGACAGAAAGACGCACAGGCAGCTAATCATAAGTTTGGCCACGAGTGTTCGAAATATTCAGCCTAGACGGGGTTTGGCGGCTTCGCTGACTGCGCCGGACTGGAGGGGCAGGCTGAGTGATGGGGGTAGCAGGCATCGGCTGTGCAGGTGCTACGGGCAAGACAACAGGACGAAGAAAGCGACGGTTTCGCCAGTATATTCGGCCACTGGGAAGCTTGACCATGTAGTCGCGGTGGCTCCCAGTGGCGACAATGGTACCGCGGGCGTTCCACAACTTGCTGCGGGGATCTTGTAGATCCACAGGGCAACCAAGGTGGAGGGCAGGCAGAGAACGGGCAGACTGGTTGTAGTGCTGACTGGCTGCTTCAGACTGGGCAGAGGCACGACTGTCGATTTCGTCAGCGGTTTCTTGCCACGCTGGGGCAAAACTGGTCCGGTGGGCAAGCACGAATGACGACAGGGGGCGGCCAAACAGGGCCTGCGCTGGGCTCTGACCGGAGCTACGGGGAGTGTTACGCCATTCCAATAAGCCACGACGGAAGGCGTCGACATTAATGTCTCCGTTGGTGGTGGTCTTGTACACGAGAGATTTGATGGCCTTGACAGCCGCCTCCACATGGCCATTCGATTGTGGGTAATGCGGACTGGATCTGACGTGGCGGACTTGCCAACGCTGACAGAAGGCGGAGAAACGCTGCGCTGTAAACTGCGGACCACCATCAGTCGTCAGGACAGCTGGGACACCGAGATCCGCGAACCAGCCTCGGAACGCACGGACTACGTCAGCGGAGGTGGCGGTGCGTCCTATCTTGGCAACACAGGGCCAGCCGGTCTTGCGGTCCACGTATACCAGGAACTGGTAGCCTTGGCATTCGAACAGATCCGCGCTGGTGCTCTCAAACGGGAGGGCAGGACAACGATCCTCAGTTGCCAGCAGCGGTTCCTTCACTTGGGAAGGTGCGTGGTGACGGCATTCAGCGCAGCTGCGAACGATATTGTCAATGTCGTTGGACAGCTGGGGCCAATACACCACCTGGCGAGCACGAGCCTTGGTACGGTTGAGACCTTGATGAGCAGCATGCAAGTCGTCAAGCACACTACGCCTGAGGGAACGCGGGACCACAATGCGAGGACCTTTCAGTACCAGGTCCTGGTCGACTGTAAGATGATGACGGACTGTCCAATACGGCTGGGCAGCAGGACATAAGTCGCGTTTGTCGTCGGGAAATCCGTTCCGGACGGTGGTGAGGAGTGCCTGATAATCCGAGTCAGCTCGAGCGGCTTCTTGCAATTCGGCAAACCGGAGATTGGCAATCTGGCCTTCGGTGTCTTTCCGAATGCAAGCGCGTATGGCAGGAGTACGAAGGGCTGGGTGTTCACCGAGCTCATCGTCAGGGGTAGGATCATCCACTGGATTGCGGGACAGCGCGTCGGCGAAAGCGTTGTCAGTACCCTTACGCCAAGTGGCATGCAGCTGGTATGGACGAAGCTTCATGACCAGGCGTTGGAGCCGGGGATTCTCAATCTGATCGAGCGAGTACGAGTTGATGATTGGTGTGAGGGGCCGGTGGTCGGTGACAAGCTCAAACAATGTACCGGCGAGGTAGAGAGAACATTTCTTCACCGCCCAGACGACAGCTAGGAGCTCCAGTTCGATGACAGCATACCGGGATTCTGGATCCGACAGAAATCGACTGCCACACTGGAGAATGCGCCACCTGCCATCTTGCAACTGCCACAGAACGTAGCCAAGGCCATGCAAAGCAGATGCATCGGTCTCTAGGCGGAGTGGCTGGTCACGTTGGAAGAATGACAGCGTTGATGGTGACAACAGCTCAGCCTTGGCAGCGTTGACTGCGTCTGTGTGAACTGAGTCCCATACAAACTCGTTGGACGTCTTGAGCAATGGGCGCAACGGGGCGGCGTGCTCAGACAGGTGCGGGGTGAACTCACCACACTGGTTGATAAGACCCATAAACGATCGGAGATCAGTGCGGTTGCTGGGAGCTGGAAACTGGCTGATAGCTTTGACCTTGGCATCATCGACGGTCCAGCCGTCAGCACTGATGCGGTAACCACAGAACTCCACGGCTGGCATGCCGAACACAAACTTCTTGGCGCTCAGAGTAATGCCATTCTCCCGGGCGCAGAGCAGGACATCCCGGACGTGAGATCGGTGGGTGTTCAGGTCATTATCGTAGACGAGGCAGTCATCAACGACCTTCTGGAACTGGGAGATATGAGCGAACGCGGCGTCGGTGCGGCGATTAAACTCGTCTCCGGCAGAGACCAATCCTTGTGGGTTGCGTAGGTACCTGTACCGACCCCAAGGTGTCATGAACGTGGTCAACGGACGGGAGGCCTCGCTCAGAGGAACTTGCCAATAGCCGTGGCGGGCGTCTAGCTTGGTGAAATATCTTGCGTTGCCAACGCTGGATACAGCGTCACGAGGGCTTGGTGCGGGGTGAGCAGGGCGTTCGACTTGGTCGTTGAGCTTTTTGAAATCAACGGTGAGCCTCTTCTCGTTTGTCCCTTTCTTGTCCACGATGACAATTGGGTGACACCACGCACTGGGTTCGGTGACCTCCTCGATGATGGCATCCCGGACCATGTCATCCAGCTGGGACTTCACTTGGTCACGGTACGCATGCGGGATCTGGCGGGCATGATATGCAGCGACAGGCTTAGCATCAGCTCGCACTCTTATTTCCATAGGTCCACCAAGCATTGGCTTCAACACAGAGTCATCAAAGACGTCAGCGAATTCAGCTAGGAGTTCGGCTCTCATCGTCTCTGAGTCGGTGGCTTTGGACACAACCTTGTCCGCAGGTGCATCGGGAACGACCGATGGGACTACCTGTTGGACTGCTGCGATTTGCTTCGGCCAGCCGGACGGCAAGTATCCTAGGGCGTGCAAGGATGAACGGGATAGGAGGGCATCAGTCAAACCATCATAGACATGAATGGTGGACGTGTGCTGGTTTGGTCCACAACTGAGAGTCGCCGAAATCTTGCCAACAGGGGTGAGACTGGCGCCATCTGCGGTACGAACATCGTCGATGTCGTCAAGCAGGTTCTCGACAAATCCGCCTAACTGGTCAAGGTGTTGAGTGCCGATGGCATCAACGTCGCTACCAGTATCCGGGAGCCAACTAAGAGCTACGGGCTCTGGCTCGGTCACAAGCTGGGTGGCAACGGAAACTGTTGCGTCGTCCAACAGAGATGCTCGGTTGAGTCGCAAGTGTGCGATCTTGGACGACTTGTCCGGCTTCTTGGCAGGCCTGCGGCACATTGCCCGGAAGTGACCCGTTCCATTACAGTTAAGGCACACTTTGTTGATCGCGGGACACGGCGATTTCGTGTGCGCTGTGCGTCCGCAGTTACGGCACTTATCACGAGCAGAAGTGTGCTTCGCCTGAACTGGGGGCTGTGAAGCTAACTTCGCGCGCTGATAAGACGACTTCCTGGCAGCATTGACTTGGCCGGCGGTAGGGATGTGGTGGCTGGTCTGTGTGGCTGCCTCTTCTGCACGACACACCTTGACTGTCGCCTCCAATGTCAGGTCGGAGGTGGACAACAGTTTGTGACGGGTGGTGTCGTCCAGGATACCGATCACAATGCGGTCTCGCATCATGTCCGCGTGGACCCGTGCAAGATTAGTTTTGCACGTAGAACAGGCACGTGCCGAACAGGCAGAACAGAGCTCGTGTTCCACAAAACCACACGTGTTAAACAACTCCTTCAGGGAAGTGTGGAACCCGTCAAACAATTCCCCTTTCTGTTGCGTGCGCTTATAAAATTCAATTCGGTCAAGTATCGGGTTTCTTTGTCGGCGAAGAAACTGCTTGACCGCCTCCAAGACGTCACACGCATCAGGATTGGTCGCGATGACAATGGTGCCCTCCCTGATGAAACGTCTGAGGTCTTCGTCAAGGCACTGACGGATGGCAGATACCCTGGTTTCCCTTGACTGTGCTGTCAGGTGCTGGCACCGAGAGAAGTCGACTTCCCACAGTTCCTGCCAGGCAGCAAACTCTGACAGGGACGCGGAGGACAGCAGCATGGGTCGCTCCGCCGCGACAGGCTTTGGAGCTGGCGGTGCTGGCGACGAGCGAGGCTGACTCTGTTGAGTAAGACCAGTGATAATTGCATCGAGACGCTTCTCTCGCTCATTGGCTGCCTCCATCTGCTTTTTGAAGAGATCAGCAAGAGCAGCGATATCTGCGCTCGGCACACTTGGTGCAGCTGCATCTGACATTTCAGAAGACGGTCACGACTAGAGAAATAAATAAAATGTAATTGGACCTGCAGGCCTCGTGCGAACACAACCGGGATGCACCACGGGCAACTAGAAAAACACAGGTACGAAACTTCACTGCGCCATGTTATGTTCTCATGCACACCACTACTACTAGACAACAGGAACTAGTTTGGTGACAAGATAATAGAAACTAATTATTTACATTCTCAAGTGAGGAAGAAGAGCAAGGAGAAGAACACATGAATCCAGAATATGGATGCGTGCATGCGTCCAATAGAGACATGACGTAATCACGTGAAGCAAGGCGTATAACGTAACAATACGCGTTATGCGGGTGATAACAACTTGAAGTACATGCGCAATACATGAGTAGCTAGCATGATACATCAGTCTTTGTCTCTGTCTCTTTCTCTCTGAGTCCGTGTCTCTGTCGCTCTTTATGTGCATCTCTTTGTTTCTGTGTCTGCCTGTCTCTATCTCTGTACCGGCCGCTGTTCTGCACAGTCATAATGAAATTGTGTGGCACCACACACGTGGCTGTACATTTACCTATGCGTGGGACATTCACACCCAAACACACACACACGCGCACACACACACATATATATATATATATATATATATATATATATTAACTGGTTTGAGGGAAAGAGACAAACGGGAAAAGTCTGAAGAAAAAATTGAAGAGACAGAAAGACGCACAGGCAGCTAATCATAAGTTTGGCCACGAGTGTTCGAAATATTCAGCCTAGACGGGGTTTGGCGGCTTCGCTGACTGCGCCGGACTGGAGGGGCAGGCTGAGTGATGGGGGTAGCAGGCATCGGCTGTGCAGGTGCTACGGGCAAGACAACAGGACGAAGAAAGTGACGGTTTCGCCAGTATATTCGGCCACTGGGAAGCTTGACCATGTAGTCGCGGTGGCTCCCAGTGGCGACAATGGTACCGCGGGCGTTCCACAACTTGCTGCGGGGATCTTGTAGATCCACAGGGCAACCAAGGTGGAGGGCAGGCAGAGAACGGGCAGACTGGTTGTAGTGCTGACTGGCTGCTTCAGACTGGGCAGAGGCACGACTGTCGATTTCGTCAGCGGTTTCTTGCCACGCTGGGGCAAAACTGGTCCGGTGGGCAAGCACGAATGACGACAGGGGGCGGCCAAACAGGGCCTGCGCTGGGCTCTGACCGGAGCTACGGGGAGTGTTACGCCATTCCAATAAGCCACGACGGAAGGCGTCGACATTAATGTCTCCGTTGGTGGTGGTCTTGTACACGAGAGATTTGATGGCCTTGACAGCCGCCTCCGCATGGCCATTCGATTGTGGGTAATGCGGACTGGATCTGACGTGGCGGACTTGCCAACGCTGACAGAAGGCGGAGAAACGCTGCGCTGTAAACTGCGGACCACCATCAGTCGTCAGGACAGCTGGGACACCGAGATCCGCGAACCAGCCTCGGAACGCACGGACTACGTCAGCGGAGGTGGCGGTGCGTCCTATCTTGGCAACACAGGGCCAGCCGGTCTTGCGGTCCACGTATACCAGGAACTGGTAGCCTTGGCATTCGAACAGATCCGCGCTGGTGCTCTCAAACGGGAGGGCAGGACAACGATCCTCAGTTGCCAGCAGCGGTTCCTTCACTTGGGAAGGTGCGTGGTGACGGCATTCAGCGCAGCTGCGAACGATATTGTCAATGTCGTTGGACAGCTGGGGCCAATACACCACCTGGCGAGCACGAGCCTTGGTACGGTTGAGACCTTGATGAGCAGCATGCAAGTCGTCAAGCACACTACGCCTGAGGGAACGCGGGACCACAATGCGAGGACCTTTCAGTACCAGGTCCTGGTCGACTGTAAGATGATGACGGACTGTCCAATACGGCTGGGCAGCAGGACATAAGTCGCGTTTGTCGTCGGGAAATCCGTTCCGGACGGTGGTGAGGAGTGCCTGATAATCCGAGTCAGCTCGAGCGGCTTCTTGCAATTCGGCAAACCGGAGATTGGCAATCTGGCCTTCGGTGTCTTTCCGAATGCAAGCGCGTATGGCAGGAGTACGAAGGGCTGGGTGTTCACCGAGCTCATCGTCAGGGGTAGGATCATCCACTGGATTGCGGGACAGCGCGTCGGCGAAAGCGTTGTCAGTACCCTTACGCCAAGTGGCATGCAGCTGGTATGGACGAAGCTTCATGACCAGGCGTTGGAGCCGGGGATTCTCAATCTGATCGAGCGAGTACGAGTTGATGATTGGTGTGAGGGGCCGGTGGTCGGTGACAAGCTCAAACAATGTACCGGCGAGGTAGAGAGAACATTTCTTCACCGCCCAGACGACAGCTAGGAGCTCCAGTTCGATGACAGCATACCGGGATTCTGGATCCGACAGAAATCGACTGCCACACTGGAGAATGCGCCACCTGCCATCTTGCAACTGCCACAGAACGTAGCCAAGGCCATGCAAAGCAGATGCATCGGTCTCTAGGCGGAGTGGCTGGTCACGTTGGAAGAATGACAGCGTTGATGGTGACAACAGCTCAGCCTTGGCAGCGTTGACTGCGTCTGTGTGAACTGAGTCCCATACAAACTCGTTGGACGTCTTGAGCAATGGGCGCAACGGGGCGGCGTGCTCAGACAGGTGCGGGGTGAACTCACCACACTGGTTGATAAGACCCATAAACGATCGGAGATCAGTGCGGTTGCTGGGAGCTGGAAACTGGCTGATAGCTTTGACCTTGGCATCATCGACGGTCCAGCCGTCAGCACTGATGCGGTAACCACAGAACTCCACGGCTGGCATGCCGAACACAAACTTCTTGGCGCTCAGAGTAATGCCATTCTCCCGGGCGCAGAGCAGGACATCCCGGACGTGAGATCGGTGGGTGTTCAGGTCATTATCGTAGACGAGGCAGTCATCAACGACCTTCTGGAACTGGGAGATATGAGCGAACGCGGCGTCGGTGCGGCGATTAAACTCGTCTCCGGCAGAGACCAATCCTTGTGGGTTGCGTAGGTACCTGTACCGACCCCAAGGTGTCATGAACGTGGTCAACGGACGGGAGGCCTCGCTCAGAGGAACTTGCCAATAGCCGTGGCGGGCGTCTAGCTTGGTGAAATATCTTGCGTTGCCAACGCTGGATACAGCGTCACGAGGGCTTGGTGCGGGGTGAGCAGGGCGTTCGACTTGGTCGTTGAGCTTTTTGAAATCAACGGTGAGCCTCTTCTCGTTTGTCCCTTTCTTGTCCACGATGACAATTGGGTGACACCACGCACTGGGTTCGGTGACCTCCTCGATGATGGCATCCCGGACCATGTCATCCAGCTGGGACTTCACTTGGTCACGGTACGCATGCGGGATCTGGCGGGCATGATATGCAGCGACAGGCTTAGCATCAGCTCGCACTCTTATTTCCATAGGTCCACCAAGCATTGGCTTCAACACAGAGTCATCAAAGACGTCAGCGAATTCAGCTAGGAGTTCGGCTCTCATCGTCTCTGAGTCGGTGGCTTTGGACACAACCTTGTCCGCAGGTGCATCGGGAACGACCGATGGGACTACCTGTTGGACTGCTGCGATTTGCTTCGGCCAGCCGGACGGCAAGTATCCTAGGGCGTGCAAGGATGAACGGGATAGGAGGGCATCAGTCAAACCATCATAGACATGAATGGTGGACGTGTGCTGGTTTGGTCCACAACTGAGAGTCGCCGAAATCTTGCCAACAGGGGTGAGACTGGCGCCATCTGCGGTACGAACATCGTCGATGTCGTCAAGCAGGTTCTCGACAAATCCGCCTAACTGGTCAAGGTGTTGAGTGCCGATGGCATCAACGTCGCTACCAGTATCCGGGAGCCAACTAAGAGCTACGGGCTCTGGCTCGGTCACAAGCTGGGTGGCAACGGAAACTGTTGCGTCGTCCAACAGAGATGCTCGGTTGAGTCGCAAGTGTGCGATCTTGGACGACTTGTCCGGCTTCTTGGCAGGCCTGCGGCACATTGCCCGGAAGTGACCCGTTCCATTACAGTTAAGGCACACTTTGTTGATCGCGGGACACGGCGATTTCGTGTGCGCTGTGCGTCCGCAGTTACGGCACTTATCACGAGCAGAAGTGTGCTTCGCCTGAACTGGGGGCTGTGAAGCTAACTTCGCGCGCTGATAAGACGACTTCCTGGCAGCATTGACTTGGCCGGCGGTAGGGATGTGGTGGCTGGTCTGTGTGGCTGCCTCTTCTGCACGACACACCTTGACTGTCGCCTCCAATGTCAGGTCGGAGGTGGACAACAGTTTGTGACGGGTGGTGTCGTCCAGGATACCGATCACAATGCGGTCTCGCATCATGTCCGCGTGGACCCGTGCAAGATTAGTTTTGCACGTAGAACAGGCACGTGCCGAACAGGCAGAACAGAGCTCGTGTTCCACAAAACCACACGTGTTAAACAACTCCTTCAGGGAAGTGTGGAACCCGTCAAACAATTCCCCTTTCTGTTGCGTGCGCTTATAAAATTCAATTCGGTCAAGTATCGGGTTTCTTTGTCGGCGAAGAAACTGCTTGACCGCCTCCAAGACGTCACACGCATCAGGATTGGTCGCGATGACAATGGTGCCCTCCCTGATGAAACGTCTGAGGTCTTCGTCAAGGCACTGACGGATGGCAGATACCCTGGTTTCCCTTGACTGTGCTGTCAGGTGCTGGCACCGAGAGAAGTCGACTTCCCACAGTTCCTGCCAGGCAGCAAACTCTGACAGGGACGCGGAGGACAGCAGCATGGGTCGCTCCGCCGCGACAGGCTTTGGAGCTGGCGGTGCTGGCGACGAGCGAGGCTGACTCTGTTGAGTAAGACCAGTGATAATTGCATCGAGACGCTTCTCTCGCTCATTGGCTGCCTCCATCTGCTTTTTGAAGAGATCAGCAAGAGCAGCGATATCTGCGCTCGGCACACTTGGTGCAGCTGCATCTGACATTTCAGAAGACGGTCACGACTAGAGAAATAAATAAAATGTAATTGGACCTGCAGGCCTCGTGCGAACACAACCGGGATGCACCACGGGCAACTAGAAAAACACAGGTACGAAACTTCACTGCGCCATGTTATGTTCTCATGCACACCACTACTACTAGACAACAGGAACTAGTTTGGTGACAAGATAATAGAAACTAATTATTTACATTCTCAAGTGAGGAAGAAGAGCAAGGAGAAGAACACATGAATCCAGAATATGGATGCGTGCATGCGTCCAATAGAGACATGACGTAATCACGTGAAGCAAGGCGTATAACGTAACAATACGCGTTATGCGGGTGATAACAACTTGAAGTACATGCGCAATACATGAGTAGCTAGCATGATACATCAGTCTTTGTCTCTGTCTCTTTCTCTCTGAGTCCGTGTCTCTGTCGCTCTTTATGTGCATCTCTTTGTTTCTGTGTCTGCCTGTCTCTATCTCTGTACCGGCCGCTGTTCTGCACAGTCATAATGAAATTGTGTGGCACCACACACGTGGCTGTACATTTACCTATGCGTGGGACATTCACACCCAAACACACACACACGCGCACACACACACATATATATATATATATATATATATATATATATATATATATTAACTGGTTTGAGGGAAAGAGACAAACGGGAAAAGTCTGAAGAAAAAATTGATATATATTATATATATATTTAAATAGAGACGTAGGCGAACAAAAATTGTATACACACTAGCTTTTAGTGTTATGAAACTGACAACCTTGACAACCTTGACAACCTTGTTTGAGCACTCTGGCAAGGTACGTTCGGGCCTGATTGGAAATTTTTATTTCCATTGCTATCAGGTTCGGCCTCATTTCCTCTGTGCTGCGCTGACGAGTCCACAAAGGACGAAACAGTTCTGTCCGCAGATTGAGTATATAATATATATATATATATATGTACACACACACATTATCTATCTCTGTCTGTTATTCTCCTGAGTCTGTGTGTCTGTCTGTCTCTCCTGTTTTTTCTTAATGTTTGTCCCTCTCTTTCTGTCTTTCTGGGTCTGATCGTCTTTGTCTGTCTGTCTCTTTCTCTTTGAGTTCGTGTCTCTGTCTGTCGCTCTTCATGCGCATCCTTTTGTTTCTGTGTCTGTCTTTCTGTGTCTGTCTGTTTCTATCTCTGCGCCGGCCACTCTTCTGCACATATTGAAATTGTGTGGCACCACAGACTTGGCTGTATATTTACCTATGCGTGGGACATTCACACACGCACACACACCCAAACATACACACACACACACACCCAAACATACACACACACACACTCGTACGCTCGATCATACAAGTACATGTAGCACTGCAGAAGTCACATCTGAGATATTATTAAAACTCTCTCTCTTTCTCTCTCTATGCCTGCCGCTGTGCTGTCATACAGACAGTGAAATTGTGTGGCACAGAACACGTACATGACTGTATATTTACCCACACGTGGGACATTCACGCATGCACACACACACACACACACACACACACACACACTACTACTACTACTACTACTATAGCATGACTGCCCACTGGGCAATGTCACCCCCGGAGGGGGCACACACACACACACACACACACATGACCTGCAGCAAATAACATTTCATAGCTACAAGACCTTCAAAGAAAGTCATGGTGTCAACAAGATATACAATGTCACGTAGAAGGATAATTGTAAAACAGCTTGCTGTCTAGAGCATTGGTAATATAAATTATCATATAATACATGTAGTAGGGACACTCTAGAGAGTCAAACTATCGGATAAATTAATGGCAAGCGAGAGTCTCTACTTTTTACAGTAGAGTGGGTGGGTATGCAGACCAGCGTAAGTCATAACAAAAAGCGTAACAAAAATCTGGCAATGGATCATGTGTGAGCGACCAAAGAGGCGTACATCACATGTCCTGTACCACTATATGTATAACCACACACAAACGTCCAGGAGAATTTCACGTACCGATGGATCTATCATGCTGCCGGGATCCCTCATATATCTCATACTGTGGTACATAACCCTCGGAGAATTGCAAGGACCTAAATACGGCAAGCAAATCAGGGATTTTAGGTGCAAGACCCGTTGTTCTAGTTGTCTAGACTGCACTGTGTTCTTGAAAATACTGGGCCTCCACGTTGTATCTGTTGATGTGGCATCCGTTGATCTCGTTTGATTAGTAGTAGTAGTAGGCATGCACTGCATTACATTTTGATGAAAGGTTCGATAGCTGATGAATGGGTTTATCATTTGGCTTCCTGTGTGGGTACTGTTTCTGTGGATTGGTTCGGAGCAATGTTCAGATGGTCCAGGCACCAGGCCAATTAATTATGGCAGTCCAAGCTAGTTGAATATCCGGATCACTTTCTCTCATCTGGTCTACACTCCATCCGCTTGCATCCATAAGCAATGCAAACGCGTTGTCCATTGCACACTGTGACAGGCATGTAACTTCTGCATACAATTCTGGGAGAGCGCACAGTGGCAGGTGCTGAGACGATCTGCTATAAATGCTCAAAATAATCTGTCATCTGCCTGGTCCAACTTGGCTGTCCTCCTGACAAGTGAAAACTGCTGGCGTCTTCAGGGCCATAAACACCATTTTTGGCATTAATCCAACGCCTCCCAAGGCTAGGCCCTTGCTCCTCATCTCTGCAGCTTCTAACAATAGGTCTGGCACAACGAAAAACTAAACTTGATACTTGGAGCTCTTAGTTCAAGCTACATTTTCAGAATCAGGAAGTTTCAAATGGCAAGAAACCTAGCTTCTCTTCACCATTGGCATCACGAGCAATGACCATTATCAGCCAGCAATGTTACTAGAGCAAATGCCAAAGGCGCTGGCGTGAACAGAAAGCTTTTCATGCAGCAACGTTTCTTTCTCAACAAAAACAAATAAAAAGGAAAGGAACAACAAAGGAGCAACACCGGGGATTTGTCCATACCCGGTACCCAGGTGTGTAGTCCCTGGAAAGGCTCTCCCACAGATTCCAGTACAAAGGCCACGGACAAGTGTCCCGCTGAGATGCGGTCGCTTCCTCGGACCGCTGGGACGCGGACACCTCCGAAGAGCAGCCTGTGACGTTTATTTTTTATGAAAGAAAATCCGCAAAAATAGATAAGCTTGTCCCTTTAGTCCTACCCCCTGAGACATGTGCAGCAAACTTTCAAACCTATGACATTATTTCATTCGTCAATTCTCCACCACCAGTCGTCTCACCTGGCTTCAGAAGATGTTACGAGAGATAGGAGAGTCGCCAGGAAGCACCACATCCATCTTCAGGAAGTGGAAAGAGCAAGCGGCATGGTCCTTGGTTGGGGTAAATGCTGAACGTCTGATTTGTCCCAACCAAGGCTTATCGTATGGAAGCGAGAGATATGTCATTCGAACCGATATCAAATTGTCTTCCTTCTGGACCCTACTCGAAAAATCGATGCACTTCCCCTAATTCGTTGTTTCGGGTCACCCGACCGACCGTCTTTTTTCACCCGACCGCAAAATGTTTTTTTTTATAGTGGATGCAAATGTACAGACTAGACTATGTACACACGCGACCCTAATAATAGCAGTCCAGATATCGACCTTAGTCTTAGAAGCAGTCATCAATGGTCATGGCTAGCCAAATGACAGGTGCTTGGTGATGACGTTGTCTTCTATCCCCGATCCGCAATTGGTCCTGAAACAGCATCAGCTCCGCCACCTTGTCGCTATTTACAGAAGTTTTCAAGGTGAGAGCTGCTCGTCAAAACTCGTTTGCCAGCGAGGCCAAGATCTGGTCCTGGAGGGGACCAGGATCTGATGGAACAATGACTGCGCTGGATTGTCTACACTACAGACTGTCAGTCAGATTTGATCGACTGGCTAGATGGACAAAAGCTATTCGATGTACATGTACATGTATGCACATGGACATAACCAAAATAAAAAATAAAATAAAATAAAAAATAAACCCGACCGACCGACCCTGTTACGGATGAGTGAAGTGACCCGAAACAACGAATTAATTCTAGGTGGCCTAATATAATTATAATGTCGTAAGGCCACCTAGAATTTATTCGTTGTTTCGGGTCACTTCCCTCATCCGTATACCAGGGTCAGTCCGTCGGGTTTATTTTTTTTATTTTATTTTTTTTTGTTACTGCCATAATTATTATGTATTATGCATGCTTGTGTGTTTCTGAACATTCAAGTGATGCTAACGCGGATCCCGCGAATAATAATATATTATTATTTTTTGAAACTCGGGTATTGAGCCAATAATAAAAGTAGAAAGGAAAAGGACATATGGAAACGAGTTAAGAGTAACTCTCCACCACTGTAACTAGATACTATATACAGTCAGAAAGTGCAACAACTAGGCACACAACTGACAGTGTACTGAGACATTCGACGTCCTGACACCTAGCTTCAACACATCTCCGTCTACTGGTCTCGTCATCGTCCAGTGACAATCGACATTCTTTGTTCCGTTGGGACTGTAGCTTGTGCTCGTTTTCGTTGCGCTTGCCTTCCCCTCTTGGGTCTTTCCATAACCTTGAACCTTCCAAGTTGGAAGGCTGTCGGTTAGCGCTACGGAGATGTGTTGAAGCTAGGTGTCAGGACGTCGAATGTCTCAGTACTCTGTCAGTTTTGTGCCTAGTTGTTGCACTTTCTGACTGTATATAGTATCTAGTTACAGTGGTGGAGAGTTACTCTTAACTCGTTTCCATATGTCCTTTTCCTTTCTATTATTATTATTATTATATGTGCATACAAACTCGGAGGGAGTTGTGGTGCTCGTGAGAGTGCTCAATACACAAAGGTGCAGAGCCTAGTAGCACACACTTGAGAGGGACGAAAAGCGTTTCTTCTGTACCTCTGAGTTTCACGGTTTTAACCGATCATCAGACAGCAACTTGACAACAATTTTCAGAAGCTAAGATTGATAAAGGCTGCAAGCTTGGATCATAGCGCGAAT